TCAAGGAGTTCATCATCACCAAGCCCTTATTATATGAAATGTTAAAGGGACTTATCTAAGAAAAAGAAGTTAAAGGAACATGAACAGTGAAAGGACAACAAACTCACAGTTATTAACAACCACACCTAAAATGAAAGCAAACTAAAAGGACAGCTAGATCAGGAGTGGAAACATAGAAATGAAGATCTCAAGGAGGGTTAGCAACAGGGGAGTGGGAGGAGGAGAAGGGGGGAGAAGGTACAGAAAATAAGTAACATAGACAGTAGATAGAAAATAGATGGGGGGGCAAGAATAGCATGGGAAATATAGAATCTAAAGGACTTGAGACACATGGTCATAAACTAAAGGGGGGTAATGGTGGGGATGAGGGGTAGGGTGGAGGGGAATAAAGGGGGAATAGAACAACTGTAACAGCATAATCAATAAAAAAAATTTAAAAAAAAAAACCACAGAACTTGGTCCAAACTGTAATATAAACGGAAAATAAAAGGATTCTACAACTTAAGATTTATAAATCACTTCCACATGGACAAGCACTCAGTCGGTACTCAAGACGTGCTTAATTAAGAAGAATTTCCCTCAAAAGCTCCAGCTCACTGCACTTGAGGATGAAGTGGAGGTCTGCCCATGTAGTGAACATATAGCTATAAAATCCTACCAAAAAGGAGCTCCATCTCCCTTTGATTTACCCAGGAATAGTCATTGAATATGAAAACAGTGCAGAAAAAACCCCCATGCATCAGCTTGTGTTTTGGGGGGACATTAGGAAGCCATGAGGCCCAGGGCTGCCCTGCGTGTGGCCAGACCCCTAGTACCCTGGTCCCTGCTCTCAAACACCAGAACATCCTGCTATTTCAGGAGAAAAATAGCATCCCTCCAAATTTCCAAGGTGGCCCCCTACGAGTTGTTGCTCATACTGGAAGGAGGTGCCAGAAACCAATGAACATGGAAATAAACAGGATAATTTCAGGGGAGACAGGGGCCACAGGGGCAGGGAAGGGAGTGACAGCCAGGAACGGGCAGGTGACTGGGCTGGGGTGGTCAGGAGGGCTTCTCTGAGGTGGTGCCCCTGGAGCTGAGACCGAAAAGACAAGGTCTGGGGGGAGGTTGAGCCGGGCAGAGGGAAGAGCCTGGACAAAGGCCCTGGGGCAGGACCACGCCTGGAGTGTTGGAGGAACAGGAAGAGGGCCACAGGCCTACACGCCGCCCCTCAGAGGCCACCATTACCCTCCCACAGTGGCCCCAGACAAGCCCCATGCTCAGGGGCAGCTTTCCCATCTGTGAAATGGGTGTCCAGACACCGAGGGGCTCTGTCGACCCCTGCCTGCCCCTGACATCCTTCCCCAGAATGCTGGAGCCCAGTCCACTCCTGGGACTTCTGTCCTCTGCCAACCTCTTTCGTGTTTTGGACTCCAACCTTTGCCCCAATGCCCATTTTGGACACTCCAACTCCCACTGTTCCTGGAAGTCACCCCCAATTCCCTCTTCTTCCAGCCCCAGGCAACCACCACCCCACTTCCTGTCTCTGTGGATGTGCCTGTTCTGGGTGTTTCACATGCATGGAATCACACACAGTGTGGCCTCCTGTGTCTGGCTTCACGGTCTCCAGGTCCGTGGCCATAGCGAGTGTCAGTGCTTCACTCCTTTTTATGGCTGAATAATATTCCACATCTTTGCTTCAAATATAATGTGTTTAACTCTAAGTTCTTAGTCTGTCATTTTTAATAATGGCAAAATTATTAAATGGCAAAATTCCTGAAAATATAGCAAGTGGCTCTTGTGAGCTGGGGTGAGACAGCTCCAGTGTGCCACTGGCCCACAGGCACCCGCCCCCAGCCCCTACCACATAAATTCTTCATGCCCCACACAAAGGGTGTCAATAATTGATGGGCCAGCTTAGCAGGTCGAAGCCACTCCTCTCCTCTCCCAGCCCTTGCTGCAATGGCACAGGATGGCCTCAGGGAGCCCCAGGCCTCTGCCCACGGTGACAAATGACCCCACAGTCCTTGTCCCCACGCAATATTGGACACCCACTACACTGAGCCCTTTACTAACCATCACTCACTGCTCACTCAGCATGCATTTCAGATACAGCCAAAGGGAAAGGGAGATTGGCTTGCCTGAGGTTAGGGAAACACCAGCGGTTATCGAACTGGGTTTCCCAGAGCCTTTGGGGGCCACCCCATGGATGGGCAGGGTCTGGCCACCTGCCAGGCTGCAGTGGGAGCCAGGACACTTTTAACTGTGGTCAGATTTCCACTAAAGAAAGAGTTTGGGGGCCAAACACGAATATTGGCAGATTGCCGCCAAATGCCACGGAGGAAAGGACAGGACAGACTCCGGCTCAGGCTGAGCAAAAGACTTGCAACAGCAAGTGGAAACTTCAGGGTCACATGGCAGGAGTGTGGATGCAGCCCCTAAATGAGTCCTGGCTCTACCCAGTTCTCACCTACCTACTCACTGCCTCAGCCCCCTGGTGCCCCATGCTGTCCTCCCTACAGCAGCCACCAGAGGGTGCATGTGAGCACCAAAGTCAGGTCCCATCCCACCTTTGCTCACACCTTCCTCTGGGTAAAAGCACAAGTCCTCCCAGAGGCTCTCATGGCCCTGCAAGATTTGCCACCATCCCCTCACTGCCCTTACCTCCTCCCTCCCCTCCCCACCCTGCCCTCCCCTCGCTCACTCTGTATCAACCACAAGGGCCTCCTCCCTGTTATTCCAACACATCAGGCAATGTCCTGCCCCAGGGCCATTGCATGGTCTGTGCCCACTGCCTGGAATGCTCTGCCCCCCCCCCCCAGGTCTCTGCATGGATGCTTCTTTCTTGTCATTCAGGACTTAGATCAAACGTCAACCGCCCCCCCCCAGAAGAACCTCTCAGAACCTCCAACCAAACTAACTTCCCATCTGTCTGACTCTCCATTATCTTCAGGCAGTTACAACGAAGCATAATTTCTCTGGATGAAATACATTTCTTCCAACCCCCAGGCTTGGCTCACAGTAAGTGCTCAGAACCTCTTTGTTGAGTGAATAGATGACCTCTCAGAGGGTCACAGAGATCTCATTTAAGGGCTCCACTGTTCAGCCAGGAAAAGACACCCAGAGAAAGACAGAGTTATCCCAAGGTTACATAGTAGCACAGCACAAACCACTCTGGAGGGGGCTCCCCCAGGTGGAAGCTCCCCTACTTCCACTACCCCACTGGACATAAGGGGAAAGGCTGAGGTCCTTTCATGAAAGCTCAGGAGAGTGGGATTCCAGAGGGAGCCCCCACCTGGAAAGGAGTGTAGAGGGATCGCAAAGGTGCGCACACTGTGGAACTGGGCCCAGTCCTGCCAGCTCCAGGCTCCCACCCACCTCTCCGTGTGCACCACCTGGGGCTGAACCCAGACCAGCATGTGCCATTATTCAGCATCTGCCTCTGAGTGAGACTGTTTTCATGCCAACAGCTGGACAGACATAAGTGAGGATAGTGTCCTAGGTACACTATTGTGGCTCCATTTGACAGACAGGGACACCGAGTCCTCCTAAATCCACCTAATCAGACCCCAAGCAACCAAAAGTCCCCTTACCTACCCAGAAAACTGAGAAAACTGAGGCTCTGGGTTTCAGACATACCTCAGACATGCCCCCATCAGGAGGGGACACCATGGGGCTTCAAGTCTGCACCTGCCTAATCTCTTCTCTTAGGGACTGGACCCTCCTGTCCCCCTCCCCAGAGAGTGGGATTCGAGCCCCCAGCGTCTGGGTACTCACCCACCACCGGTGTCCCAGGCCGGGGAGCCTGCCAAGTAGAAGAAGCCCAGCCAAGGTGTTTGTGCGGCTGGGGCTATGGCTCTTTGTTCAGGTTTCCATAGGTACCGCGTCCCTGGGCAAGCCCCTCCCCCGCCCCACCCAGCTGCCCAGCCCTCGCCTGGCAGTCCTTTGGCCCAGCCTATCCAGGCAACTTGTTATGTTTTAAAGTTGACATCGTGGGCCTGGCACGGTGGTGGAGGAAACAACCTGTGCAAAGGCCCAGAGGCAATATTATGCCAGGCATGTGATTGTGGAGGCTGGTGTGGCTGGAGGTAGAGTGAGCAGAGAAGGAGAACGGGAGATGAGACCCAGGAGGCATGCAGGACCCACATTCCTGCACTTAACCTGGAAGCAGCACTCACCCCAGGGTTCCTCTTATTATACAGACAGGAATTGAGCCTAGGAGAATCAAATCATCTGTTCAAGGTACTATATGGTGAGTGGTGGGTGGGAACACAGGTTTGTCAAATTCCAAGACAGAACTCCCCAACCACTTGTTAAACTGCCCTCACCCATCAGCAGCCCCTCAGGATCTTCACAGCCCTCAGCTGGGCTCATATACTCAGGAGGTAACCATGAAGGCCTGTCCACACCTGGGGCTGCCCCTCCTCCAGGGGGCCCCCCAGGAAAGAGGAGGTGGTGATGCTGGGTCAGCTCACCTGCAGATTACTTCAGCGGTGACAGTCCCAGCTCACAGCTGGCAAAACTGAGGCCAAGGCTTTGGGCCACTAGGGAGCTCCTAGGTGGCCACTGGGGAGTCTGGGTGGGCCTGGCCTTGGATATCCCAGCAGCCTGGACCTGCTGGAAGTCACACTCCTTTCCACCCCCACGCCTTTGGCAGGGCTGCCCACCACCTGGAATGCCCTTCCGACTCTGGAATCTGGCCCTAGCGCCTGGCGCCCTGCACGGTGAAAGGGGCAGAGTACATCAGAGTCCCCATGGGGCGGGAAGCGGGGGCTCGCTGGTCCCAGAGCAATGCCCCATGCCCATGGGGCAGTGCAGGCCCTCTGTGCCTTCTTCCCTAACACATACAGCAAGAGAGTGTCAGAGACAGAGGGAAAGGGAGAAAGGGAGAAACTCAGGCAGGAATAGACTGACCGGGAAGGGGGGTTGCAGGGGCATGGGGCAGCGGGAGAGATAGACAGAGGGCGGCTAGGTGGTCCCTGAAATGCGCCGAGATGGGGGACTCACAGCATCAATCTCACCTGCTCTTTGGGACCAGTCGTGGGTCCGACCACCTGGATTTCGCCCCGCTGCCTCCAAGGGACCGCAGCACTCGCGCTTGATAACCACGAGGGGCGGGGCGGGAAGCTCTGCCCGCCCTTCCATCGCTCCGCCCCCGCCCTGCCCCTCCCTCTTGGAAGTAGCGAAGAGGCCAGAGGAGGAGGGGATGGGCCAAAGACCTGGGCTCAGCCAATGGTAGTGCGGGCGGTGTACAAAGAAGCCAATAGGAGCAGGTCACCTCCGTGAGAGGGGCGGGCCCGGGGCGGGGCCAGGAGGCTAGGGGGATTCCTCCGGAATTGCACAAGTAGCCGGATGCTGGGGGTGCCGCGGGACCGGGCCTATCCGAAGAAAGGGGAGGAAGGGGACTGAGTGAAAAACGGAGAGAGACGCAGGGGAAGAGAGGAAGACAGAGAGAGCCAGAGAGAAAAACAGATCAACATACAGTTCTGGATAGGCTCCTTCCTCCCTCTGGGACTCAGTTTACCCACCAGTAGTTGGGGTAGAAACTTGTTTCTTAAAGTACATCAGAATCACCTGAGAGCTCCTTTAAAAATGCAGATTCTGATACCCCCAGACATGCTGAATCTGACCCAGAGTTGAAGATCAGTCGTTCTGGGTTGCTGATAAATTCTCGGGGTGAAGTTTAAGGCAGTCGCTGGGTGAACAGGCCCTGGTGATCCTATCAGGGGGAGTCCCAGATCCAGCCTCAGTTTCCGTGGGAATGAGCCTCCTAGCCGCCAGTGGGTTGGGCGGTGGGGCCAGCTGGGGCCCCCCCAGAGGATGCAGCTGTGAGTTCTGGGAACCGGGCCCAGCATCGGCTCCCAGCTCCTCTGCTGCTTCTGTTTCCTCCCTGAAGCCCCAGCCCAGGGTCCCAGTTGCTGCTAGAGTCAAGGGAGGCCAGAGCAGGCCAGACAACAAGTGTCTGGTGAGTGCCTCGTCCTGTCCTGCACTTGGAGATCACACAGCGCTGACTCAGACCTCATGAGTCCCAAATAAATGAAATGTCTCTTTATTCCATTTTGGAGGGGGAAACTGAGGCCCAGGGAGGGGAAGTGGCTTGCCTAAGAATATGCACGCACAAGTGGTGGGGCCACAGTTCAAAACCCAGGACCCCTTGTCCCACCTCGTCCCACCCACAACTGAGTCTCACTCTCTCTTTAGTCCAGGGTTTCTCTTCATTAGCACTGTTCACATTTGGGGCCAGTAATTCCTGCTTGTGAGAGTGGGGTGGGGGCGCCCTTTGCACACGGTACGTCAGGCCGGAGCATCCCTGGCTTCCACCCACTCGGTGCCAAAGTAGCCCAACCAAGTCATGACAACCAAAAATGTGTCCAGTCATTGCCAAGTGTTCCCTGGGGGCAGAATGGCCCCTCGTTGAGACCTAGATACATCTCTTCATGTCCCAGAGCCCCAAATTATGGAGACCGCTTCTTTGGATCAGGGTAGCTAATGGGGCAGAGGGAGCTGTTTTTGGCACTTAGCAAACGCAGCAGATTGTTCCAATGAGTGCTGCGTGGGTGTGGCAGGTGTGGAGTGTGACTGAGGTGAGTTCAATCCCAGCTTTGTCAGTATCTGCCTACACGTGTTCATCTCTCCAAGCCTCAGTCTTCCACATGTGACATAAGAATAATAAAGCTGCCCCAGCTGGTGTGGCTCAGTGGATTGAATGCTGGCCTGCAAACTGAAAGGTCGCTGGTTTGATACCCAGGCAGGACACATGCCTGGGTTGTGGACCAGGTCCCCAGTTGGGGGCATGCAAGGGGCAACTTATCCATGTAACACCCACACATCGCTGTTTCTCTCCTTCTCTTTCTCCCTCCCTTCCTCCTCTCTAAAAATAAATAAAATCTTTAAAGAAAAAGAATAATAAAGCCTCGAGGCCCACAAACAAGACAACGAATAAAAAATGTTCACAGGATGTGAAGAAATTAGAACCTTTGAACATCGATGGTGGGATTATAAAATAGTGCAGCTTTTCTGGAAAAGTTCGGTGGTTCCTCAAAAAGTTAATCATAGAATCACCATATGACTGAGCAATTCCACTCGTACGTAGTACATATTGACCCTATGAAGTTGAAAGCAGAGACTCAGTGTTCATAGCAGCGTTATTCACAATAGTCAAAAGGTGGAAGCCACCTGTGCCCATCAACAGATGATGGATAAACACAATGTGGTCCATCCAGACAATGGAATATTATTCAGCCTTAAGAAGAAAGAAAATTCTGACACCTGTTACAACACGGACGAAGCTTGAGGACGTTGTTGAGTGAAATAAGCCAGACACAGAAGGACAGACACTGTGTGATCCCAGTCACAGGAGGTCCCTGGAGGAGTCAGATCCACAGAGACAGGAAGTAGATGGTAGAGCCAGGAGCTGGGAGAGGGGGTGGGAGTTAATGTTTAATGGGGACAAAGTTTCAGTTTGGGAGGATGAGAAAGTTCTGGGGATAAATGGTGGTGACAATTATACAACAATATGAATGTATTTAATGCCACTGAACTGTATACTTAAAAATAGCTAAAGTGGTAAACATTATGTTAAATATTTACCACAATTTTAGAAATGAATAATGAATATACAAAAACTCTGAATTGTATACTTTAGATGGGTGAATTGAATGGTATATGAATTATGTTGCAGTAAAATTTTTGTTTGTTTGTTTGTTTGTTTGTTTTAGAAAGTGCCCAGTTGTACATCTGGTAATAATAGCAATAGTATAGCTAATATTTATTGAGCACCTATTATGTGTCAGTCACTTTATATAAATTAACTCACCGAATCTCAAAGCAACCTGGCCAGGGGCTACAACTGTTTCATTTCAAAGATGGTGAAACTGAGGCTCAGAAGAAGCAAGTGGCCTGTCCCAGGCTACACTGCCAGGTCATGACAGAGGTGGGATTAGAATCTGGAACCCTCTGAGTTGGGTGTAATGTGTACAGCTCTCTGAGTTGCCCGAATATCCTTGGGGTTGACCCATTTGACCAGGGGGCTGATGGTGCTCCTGAGCCTAGTAAAGAACAGACAAGGGGCTCTATCTGGGGTCAGAGGCTCAGCTCAGAACCGGGACTCAGGCCAAGTCTCGGGGTAGTAGCTGTGCCGATTCCGGCCATGCGCAGCAGGGGGCGTCCGTTGCCCACAGCCAGCCCGGCAGCGCCTCTCTTTCTCCCTCCCTCTTTCCCTCTCTCCCCCTCTCCCTCTCTCCCTTTCTCTCTCTCTCTGAAATGGGTGGAGTGGGCGGGATCTGTGTGCGGGGAAGGGTCTCGGGTCCAAGTCAGCTGAGACCCTAGACCCAGCCAGCCTCACTTGCACCTCAATATCAGCCCTTGCATTCTGCCGGGCTGTGTGACCCAGAAACAACAATCTCTTCTTTGGGCCTCTGGCTCATCCCTACGCAATGGGACCTCAGTGATGCAGAGGAGGATCGAGGGAGGGGAGACTTTTCTCCAGGAGCCTCCGGGAATCCCTTGTCTGGCGGCTTCCCCACCTCCCAGGCGCTTTGGAGAGCCAGCTGTGGTGGTGGCCACAACACTCAACTCGCATGCTCCAAGCCCAGGCGTAACTCTCACAATCTATCTGTCCCCGGCCCCTCTTGTGTGGGGGGCAAAAGCCCTCCGGAGGTGGGCCCCTCACCCTCACCCCATGCAGCCACCCCACCACCTCACTACTGACAAAGTGTTCCAGTGTCTCCAGGATGCAGGGCCACACCTTTGGTTAGCTGTTCCCTCCACCCCCAGAACCCTCCTTTCACTCCCAGACTCAGCAGGTGAGTTAGCTGCATGAGGGAGGAAGTCCAGCTCCTGAATCACAGAGTTCCGGCTGCACCCAGTGATTATCTGTTTGTCAGCCTCAGTTCCTTCTGTCCATCAACTGGGGCTAATTGTCCCGCTTTGCTGAATTCCGGGTAATGTGGGACTGGGTGGGTCAACAATTTAGACTGTTACTATCACCTGTCTAAAGTCACCAGGTGTTCATGGGAACTCAGGCAAGGAATTCAGGTTCTGGCCTGTCCCACGCTGGGCACCTCCTCATGTACTCTTGAGTCCCACATCTATTTAATGAACACTTACTTTATACTAAATACTGTTCCAGGCACGGAGAACCCATTGGGGAACATAACAGATAGAAGCCTTCATGGAGCTGATTCTCCAGTGAAGCAAGAAGTGGGAAGTATGTAAATTATCTTAAATTACAATCATGCAATTCCAAAGGGCAGTGGACCCTCAGAGCAAAGAGGGATCCTGGGTCGGACCCTGAAACAGGAATAGAGCATTAGTGGAAAAACGGGAGAAATCCATATCCCGAGCAGGGATTCAAACCCACACCCTCCGTCCTCCCTGTCCAGCTTGGTGCTTTCCTTCACCTTCAGAGTGCTTCTGCCATCTTCTTTGACTATCCTTCCCTCCCATAGCTCAATCCAGTCAGCCTCTCTGGGGTCCCTGACTATTTCCCTAAGACCCTTCCCCCACCAGGTTTCTGCAAGTCCCCAGAGGGTCAAGGCAATCCAAGAGGGCTTCCTGAAGGAGGAAGCTCCTAGGCAGCAGGGAGTGCTGAGGATTACCCTGTACAGCTTGTGATTTCCCAGTTAGTTTGCTCATCCTCAATTTTCGGAGGCATGAGGCTTAGGTGGGAAATCTATTCCCTCTGTTTTCCTCACACCCACCTCTGTCTTGATGACTGCATCTGGGCCTGAGCAGGGGGTGCTGCTGACCTCATCCTCCCACCTCAGGGAGGATGTGTTAGCTGAACCCTGACACGATAAAATAATAACTCAGCAGCCCCACGCCCAGCCAGAATCTAGGGCAACAAGCATCTCATACACATTATCTCAGAGTCCCTGCCTCAGCCCCTCGAGGAAGACGTTATTAGAGACTCCCCTTAGGTAGATAAAGAAACTTAATCCAGAGAAGAAATTCACCACCCGGAGACACACAGCAAATGACAGAACTGGGACTCGTCACCCCTCAGCCACTGCACTCTCCCTTCAATTCATTCTCCCTGTAGTGGCTAGAGGGCGCCTCTGAGAACCTGAGTTGAGTACAGCCCCCTTCTCTGCCCACAGCCCTCCAGGGCTCCC